ACAAATTATGGTTTTTACCTTCATCATCATATATCAATGATAATCCATCTATTTTAACTCCTGACGTGAACAGAAGTTATTTGTATCTGTAGCGATTACATCTGAAAACTCAGACTACGGACTGAAAAATAACTTAGTACTTTTGAAGGTTATTTTGATCATGTAATATTCAATAAAATTTTAACTGAGCTTGCTTTTCCATCTATGAACTTTATCGGTTGTACCTTTACTTGTATCCGGCTGTCCATCCATACAATACGTGTATGTACATATAATGTGTACTCTTTTCCTTAGCGGGACATGATCCCATTAGGTTGTCGGCGGAAAGTGTGTCAGTGTGATTGTAGTGTTGGTAATGTGTTGTGTGCACCGTGCTTAATCTCTTTCATTGAGCATTTATTCTGATCTCCTATTATGTACATCCTTTCTGATTAATTGGCTGCTAAAAGTGATACATGCTCATGTGAAATAGACTCAAATATATTGTTCTTTTTATATTTCTCAGTTATCAGACTTAATTAATTTAGATAACGTTAAATATTTTAGAATATTTAAAAGGGTTTATTAAATAATTTAAATTAAATTGTATATTAATATTAGTACCTACCTTACACTTAGATTATCAGGAACTCATATTAAATACTAATAAACTATTCTTTATTTGTTACCTTACCTTAGAATGTCATTACAACTAATGAGATTAATTTAACTGTAAGGCTGATTATGTATAATTTCATATATCATCAGTTTCACTTACAATAACGGTTATAACATGCAGTTATTTGCTACAATTCCCGCCACACGCACTGTTCGCTGCGCATACTATTGGCACACTAACAGCACAACGAAAGTTTATTGTTTATTCCACTTTTTCTCTCTTATCCAGTTTATTTATTAGTGACGAGTTGTATTTTAATGAAGACATAGATCGGGTAGTTTTATATTGATATTTATAAAATGTTTTTTTTTTCAAATGAATTATATAATTTATTGCGACTAATAAAAGCAACATTCTCATGTAATCGAACTCCGAAGGGCACATTTGCGCAAGAAACATTCGCTAGCCAAGTTCACTCGCCCACTACCGCCCTGGCGTCTCCCACACTTAATAACTCAAGCATAACGATACGCCTGAATTACATACATTTCGAGGACTTTATAAAGAGTTATATAAAATTTACCTAAAGTAGCACAGAAAATTACGTCTTCCTATTATTCCATATAAGCTGATAAAATAACATGTAATACAAGTAAGCGTAATAAATTGTATTAGGTAATAAATTTACACCTAACATAAAGTTTTCATAGATTTGTATCGTCTATACATGCAAAAGTTATTTTGTTTCCACATACGATTTTACAGTATTTCATACAAAATATCAGCTTCTCAATGCATTTAAAGAAAATTTTAATTAGTCTTTATATTCAGAAATGCCACATTATTTACTCGTTCCCGTCTAGTTGGTTTAAAATAATTACACAAGTGTTACAGACAACCCTTGTGCGGTCGTTGGCTTATGTCTCCCTTCACCTGGCGTATTCAATGAAGAGTAAAAGTGTTGGATATTAACAGGTTTCGAATATCGCTAATCGCTATTGTGAGCTTTCACCAAAATTCGAAATCTTTACAATGGGCTCTCGATATCACGCGGAATCAGTAGTTTTTTTTTAAAGTTTTTTTTATAAATACATTTCTATAGAATCGAATCCACATTGTATGGCGTTTGTTTTTTCCGTCTAATTTCGAATTTAAAATTATCTACTATTAAATTACTTCAAACTAATAAACAGTTGAATGATGGTACACGCTTTAGTCTGCGCGTGCGCCTCCGTAGTTTAGTAGGTACGCGCTTCAGTGCGTCACTGACTCTGAATGAAGACAGTCACGCGGTACATCATTCGTGTATTTTTAATTGATAACATGCTGTGCCAAATCGATATTGCACAAACTTTTGTCTTTATCAATAAGGTGATGTTAGTGTTGTGTGTAGTGTGTTATATATTCTTGCAATTTCTCGGATGAATTTATATATATATACCTCCTATTTTAGCATCGGGTTATTTTAGTGCTCCGTGTGAATAAACAGTATAGCTGTGAAGTCAAACTTGAACGATGTTTACCTCCTCGATACACATGTGTTGCAAGATATATTGGAATTATTATTGTATTAACATTGATTTTAAACATTGATCTGATCTTGGCTACTTACGTAGGTAGTAATATATATTGCTAATATTTACGAGGAAATACGTATGTAGAAACGTGATGTTTAATAATCAATATCTGTTTAACTTATTTAACCATTTCTTGTATCGGATGTATATCCGTACAATTGCTTCAAAAACATGCAAACTAAAGTTCATATTTTCGATTTCATTATCGAAATCAAATCGCAAGGAAATCTAAAGACGTCCACAGTTTTAAAGAGAAGTGAGGTCCACAGTTCATTGAGCAATTGAAAAGTTCAAGGGTTTATTTTTAATATTAAAGTCCTGTTTTGAACTGCACTGAATTCAGGTCATTTACAAGAGCCATTAATAATGATTCGAGCATGTATAGCAATCTGTCGCAAATCGACCGCTTCCTCTGAAGATCGTTGAAGTCACTATTATAACATGATTTATATACCTGCCACGTCATTAGTGTTGTCATTGTCGCAAACGGATGCGTTTATTTGCCTCAACAGTGAATATTATTAATAGTGAATAACAAAAGCTTTTAACCCTTTTTAATGCATCTATATTATATAACATATATGACTGTAAATACCGTTATAATATCTTACGCTATGCATAGGTTTTGTCTGTCCATACCTCTTTTGCTTACATAGTCTTCGCTTGTCTATACCCTTAACTACATATATTGCCAAGATTAGTTATCATTCCGTCAAAGAACGGTCAAAATGCATACAAATTTAAGTAAGATAAACAACCTTATCAAGTAACATGCTGTGTTTCTTCAAGTGAAAAATAACTTTGATTATAACAATCAGAGTTATTCAATATTGACATATATATTTTGTGTTCTTATCAATTTCTTTGATATCATTTGACAAGGCCATTCGATTACTGTAAGCCTTGAGAATAAATGTTCTTCATTGCGTGCTAGTAAGTGCAATTTTCTGTATTTGCTGGCTTGCCAATGTACTCCCACTGGACTAGCTTATCGTGAAAATATCGCACCGGAAAGGGTTGGCCGTGCGCCAGACTTGACGTACCTAATCCTAATATTGCTTCAGTGTCACCATTTATCGCCTTTTCTTTATTTCTACCTATTTTACGGTCATAGTGAATGTTATTATTATTTAAAGTAAAAACTCCCATTATCTTTCAAATTGGTATAATATTACGAATTTATATTCTTTTTCACCGCCTTAATTTAGAAAAGGATTTCTTTGCAACTTCTATACACTAAGTAATTGTTTGTATGCAATGCAATTTGCGTCATTCTTGGATAGAAAAACCATTGTTGAAGGAGAAAATTTACATTCATGAGAAATATTTTTTACAATTTTTAAAGCAACATCTCGCGAACGAAATTACCGCCAATGTGTGCATAACTATTTTTGTCTATACATACCTCTGAACATATACTGAGTCATAACTTCAGTAAAATTAGTAAAACGCCATATTCTATTCGGTTTATTAAATCACTATGCGGACTGGAGGTATACCGAAGCGTTACCGTTGCGGTTGGCGGCATTTTGTATTGCCCTTGAAAGTTAACATTTTCATTTTCATTTTTAAAATATTGCAGACATTGTTAGAAACTAATACAAAACACAATGTATAATCTCAATTTTAGAGGTAAGGTAAAAATAAATACATACTTTGTAGGTAAAGTAAAAATAAATACTTACAGCAGTAAACTATGGTTAATATTTATTTTTATCAATTCAATAAAACATGATAGAAAAATACATTTAATAAATTATTTATTGTTGAGAAGAAAGTAAATTAGCTTAAACCGAAAATTTATTCTTCAATTTACACATTTGTTACAATTTTTAGCAAAATCATAAGAATATCAACATTTTAAAATTTAGCACAAATTGTACCTTATCCACGTACATGTAATACTTTATTACATATAAAAGGTCTTCCGTGGTTTCTAAAGAGGTTCTTACGTCGCGAAGCTCCCACAGTTTTCACAAAACAATAGCTTGTTGAAGATTTCACTTTTTTGTCATCAAATTCGCTTATTGTAAAATTCTTCCTCTTCCTAATTTTTTACAAATGTCTACACAATTTTTCCGCCTTCACTTCGAACACCGAACATGTAACCACCTAATATAGAACTATTGTTCATTAGTAACACTAAATAACGTTGAGAGTTATTTTAATTGGATTATGACTAGTCCGTGCAATGTTTTTGCTTAATAATTGTTTTACTCCGAAGCAATTTGTGAAGCACAAAAAAAGCTGACATACCAGTGAACCAAACATTTGAAATGATCTAAAGTAACACCAGGTGATAGATGCTTGTTACTTTTGTCAAAAATCCATTCATTAGTCCAGACTCCAGAGTCAATGTCACATAGGCATTCTTTGACAGGTCACTGAACCCATCGGCGCCTCCGCAAAGTAGTTTCGTTACTGTTGTGGACGTATTACTTTATTAGAAACTAGCTTGCTACGTTTCCTTGACTAGAAACCTTCAGTCGCATTTTTGTTATTCTACTGAATCACATTACTGTACCTATACGTATTTTAAACGGACTAATAACGGTTTGAGGCCCGTTTTTGCTAACGCAAATCTATGTATTATGTAATGCCGTTAAACCGAGAAATTGCAACGATACTTTATAAATTACCACATAAATTCAATGCTAATTAAATAAAATTACAGGTGATATAATAAAAAAGTAGTGCTGATATTGACATATTTAACAAGCGTGTAAAAAGTGTGAAGTAAATAAAAATATCAAAGTGTAAAATAGTTTTGAGAAAGAAGTGTAAAACGAATCTACCTTAGTGTTGTCTATGGGACATGAGTGATAATGAGTACGGAACGACGTCTTTCACGGAGTTTCCACTCCTGTTTGAAGGGGTCGTCCACTGAGGAAGCTGCGGATGAAGAAGAGAGTTGTTACCACTCTCTGGGAGGACGGCACACACTCAGCAGATATCCTCAGGTGTATGTAGAGGATCTGTCAAACGTCACATTAGCCGACTTCGAGTCAGATGATTTAGATGGTGCGTATTTCGTATATTTTTTATAGGTGACTTATGTCGCATTGGATAAGGTTTTAAGTCTTTGTTGGTGTTCGATAGTGTAGTAATAATGAAAATAAGTTTAGTAAGAAGTTTTCATTTCTTAACAAATCATCAACTACAATTACAACATACATTTTATGATACTTTGTTTTGAATTTTTGACTTATTTTTAGTAAATAGTAAAAAAATATCATATCTTAATTTGTTAAACAACCAATTCATTATTACGTGAGAACTAAAAATTAATAAAACATGAATGTAAATATGCATAATTATTAACTACTGTTAAAACATATCACTTTTTTAATCACAACGTCATTTAATTGTAATATACGTCCAATCATGAAAAGATAAATACGTTATTTTGCTATTAAATTAATTGTTGAAACAATTAAGTGAAAGTGAAACACGCACCCGTTAGGAAACAATAATTTTCGTCTAAAACATGATAAATTATCATTTTTGTTTTTATGAAGTATATTGTATGTATACTCGATTTATTTAAGCGCAAAACGTTTATTGTGATGTAGCTTTTGTAGTTATATCCATAAAAAGATTATATATTTATTGTAGAATACGAAATTTCAACCTTGTACGACGTCCGTCGTTCCACAACTGAGCGTTTTTTAAGGCAGTTTAGCCGCGCACCACCACTTTGTGGAACTAGCTGCCCACTGAAGTATTTTTCGAACCTATTCGGCTTAGAGTCCTGCATGAAAAGAGCGTACCAATTCTTAAAAGGGCGGCAACGCACTCGCAAGCCCTCTGGCATTGAGAGTGTCCATGGGCGGCGGTATCACTTAACATCAGGTGAGCCTTCTGCCCGTTTGGCCCCTGTTCTATAAAAATGAAATAGTTTATCCATACAAACACTATAAATGCAAGCTTTTCACACTATAGTTTCGATAAATAAAAAGTATTAAAACCAATCTTTCGAATTCATAATATTCATTAATAATCAATACAGTGTGGAACGTACTTGAGTCAAATGTATTTTAATTTCATATTTATTATTAGCAACCGTGTGTATAATAACATGCACTAATAGTGATTATGTTACTCTCAGGAGAATGTTCTAATTAGTTACTGTATACTGGGTATAATAACATTCCAAGTTAACTGTATGTCCACCGCAGTGTTGATACACTAGTGTTCTTTGACATAATTTGCCTTACTCTTATGCAATATTCAAATAACACACTATTTTATACGATCGGTAGGATCTTTTGTAGAAGTACGTCATAGCTTAAGGCAATTCTTCATACGTCATGAAGTGAATCATATCTCACCGGATACGTAGTTGAACATTTTTTCCGTATTCGCAAATTTTTTACTCAGGATTATATTATAAGCTGGAGTATTTGTTTATAAAGCGGTAAAAAATATTGCTTTCATTACACCGTACAATTGCCAACCACATTCAATGCACTTCTTCTTGTTCTTCTTCTTTATCACCATCTCGTAATAAAAGTATTTCAAGGGCCGGAGTTGATGTATTTTTAATAAGTCAGAAATTACAGATGACATAAGCTTAATTTCTTATTTTATTCCCTATATATAAAGATTGATAACATGTGCAAAATACCCAGGATTTTATATGAAACGTTCTCAATATAAGCTAGTCTTTAAACATCATTTTTTTTTTTTTAAACAACCCCCCCTTTTTTTTTTATATTTTTTTTTTTTATTCTTTTTTTTGGGTTTTTTTTTTTTTTTTCGCGCTTCTTCATACGAATACTTTTATTGTACGTATTAGTTATAAACGTTCGATAAAAACTTTCTATTGTTTACGTCGTCATTGTATAGTTCCAGAAGTCATAAATAACATTACTGTATACACTAATAAGACGTATTTAAAGTCGTATTTTAAAATTGTAAGTCTAAAAAGTAGCTGTTGTATTAGGTTATAAGTTATAACAAACCGCCCGTATCGGAAGTGTTGTGAATTCGATCGTCTCATTTTTATACCGAGAACCAATCAAAGAGGTTGTTATAGCGACCTATTAATTCAAGGACCATCCAGTCTATGAATAAAAGACTGTTTTAGCACAGACAAATAATCATAGATGAATGAATGCTGTACTATATCGGCATACTAATCTAGTTCCTGTCGGCGTAATGTAGTCATTGTTAGTTGGCAGATATTCTAAACGGCGAATGAAAAAGTTTGAAATAGCTTTAAAATCCATTTAATGTTTAATCATATATTTTTCAGTATTTGATATAGGAATGATATAGGATATTATAACAATTCTTACTGACAAAATAAACAGATACAAATATAATAAGACATTTAAAATAAACTAATAATCTTAAATTGTCCAATCACTTCTTGCGAAGTATGAAATGCATTCGGCTTTTTTCTTTGTTTACATTTCACTCCCAAAACAGGGTTCTTTTATGGATACACACGTGCTAGTGTCTGACGATTCCCCGCACGTATGTGGCTCCAAATAGGTTGATTGTTTACGTATCACGTTTAATGTCAGTAAGTTAGATATTCGGCCCGTGTCTGCACACCTGCGCCTCACCGCTTACATCCGTTTCCTGTGTTTTTCAACCCTTTGTCAAATATCTTAAAATCCGGTAATGTCATTTGATTAGTCGAGAATGTCCGATTAGCGGAACCATTGATGTGATATCTCAAAGAATCCGACATATTTTTTGGGATTTTATAATTTATTAATATATCACACACAGAATTACAACCTGAGTAATTATTATAGGATTTTAACGTCCATTTGACATTTGCAGGAATCTATTTTGAAATAAGAAAAGAAAAAAATTATATATTAGACAAAAGTAAATATTTTCCTTATTACACATAAGAAAAATTAAGTTAGGTACACGTGTAAAACACACAAAAATAGCATCAACACTATTACGTTTTGTTTGAGCTTGTCGTAATTATAAAAACTGATCGAAATCAGAGACAAAAAAGTAACTTGTAGTACAAAAAATTTCAAGGAAATTTCATGATATTGGCTTATTGTTATTACTTTATGGTATTTGGTTTCAAAGCTTGTCACGGAAGCTGAGTGCCTTTGTACATTCCCCTTTGACATGAATGAAATTTGTGTAGGACCGGATACGGTCTACGTGTTAAACTTTTAGGCAAATATTAAAACTACCTGTAAGAACGTACTAAGTTTTTTAATATGTTCATATATTCAAAGTTGGTAGATATAATCTTACTTAATTACAACGCGAGCATCGGTTCATTTCTAACAGCTCAGATTTCAACTATTTACATTAAAATAATTTAATTCCTGATAACTCAAGTGCCTCATTGCGTGGTTAAAATAGTTTCATGCATATATAACTCAAATTATTTAATTGTTCCTAAAAATATTCTTGTGCATCGATTTTGATGGAATAGTGTTATTTCTTTCGTATACAATTGCAGATATTTTAGTTAGCAAGCTATCGTGTCAAAGTCAGTTGCAAATCAAATGAAGGAAGAAAAGCAGGAAAACGGATTCATAACAAACCATTATGGATAGACAGCAGTTATACAGATTTTCCAACAGTTATGTTTCATGGAAATCAGATAAATATATTGTATTTAAAAAGGTCGTTATGACTGTGCATGAAGTCATTCTCGTGAGCATGACTTTACTGGTACAAATTATTCCATTTACAAAGTTAATTTGTCTACGCTTAGTTCATCTTTTATGTCCTAGTTTATAATAATAGTGATTAAGGTTTATTTAATTCCAAAAATTACACGTTACAAGTAAATGATTAATGATAAATAAAACAAAGATTGTTTATAATTTAAATTTAATTATTAATTTAAAACCAATTGATTGCCTCCACTTTTCTTGGGTCTCCTTTATTTTTCCTAGCACTGTGTAGCTTAGCAAGTAGTTCCAATTTTAGGTCAGGTGTAGATTAAAGTACTTATTCATTACTATTATGAATCCACAGAGAATAAGCTGCATGCAGATTGCTGTGTGTGTATGACACACAGCTTTCAATCTTCACAACGATCAAACCTCTACCACATTTCAATTGCTCCATAACTGTGACAGATTATTATCCACCGATTACACATGCGTAGAATATTTGTTTACCTGTATATCGTACTTCAGTTCGTTAATAACAGCGACGCGGTAAAATAAGTCAAACGCAGATTTAACGTAGCATATAAAACCTTGTCACTCTTAAGGTATAACTCACAAAAGGTAAAAATACATTATAACTGCGACAATTATCCTTTGCACTGTATTATTTAATTTTACAATAAATTTGAGCTCCGTGTAAGCGAATTAGGAACTTAACGGAGTCATTAACATAAACAAATAGAACGATCTATTTGCGCATGTAGGTTTATGATATGTATGATAAAACCATACGTTCAATATATAGAAAAGTTTGTGCTAAGGTTACTGCGTTCACTTTATTTACGTAAACGTATCACGTTGAAGAAAGTTGAATGACATACAAACATATAAACTTACTTATTTAAAATTCCTGAAAGACTTGCGTCAATCTGATTCATTAAGTTGCTTCTCTTGTCAAACATGATAGACGTGTTTCAGTATATAAAGGCCGCAGAGCACAAAAAAGAGAAATCAGATAATGTCGAAGACTACCATAACAAAGGTTAATTGTTTCGTGTTGTTATTTAGTTTCAATGTGTGACAATTTTTATATGCTAAATACATATATTTTTGAGAAAACTACGAAACACACCTACTATACAAACTTATATTTTAATCTCGTACATTGCACCCCTTCTATTTTTACGATTGTGACAAGTTGCCACTTGCCAATAATAAATTCTACGCCGGGACCAAAATTATAAAGTCATTCATAAAATGCACCACTTTTGTTGTAAACAATTAAAACAAGAAACTCGTACCTACTTTCTGATAAACGTTAAGTTTTTATCGCAAGTGAAAAGTATGCCACGGGAAGTGATAGTTACAAATGTTAATAGAACTGAAATTACTGCGAATATTCTAAGGAGCTAGTTCTAATTTACCATCTGTTAAAATGCATATTATGTTGTCCTGTTTCCCTTTTTTGAGTGCTGTAATATTTTTATTTTTATTATAGTTGTAAGCAAGATGCAATTTGAGATATATTAAAAAAATATTTATATTTACAGTGTCTTCAATAGTAATTTATTTAAAGTAATCGACAAATCTACCGTAGCGCCATCTATTGTACATTTAATAAAACTTACAATTTATGTTTCATACTACTCGCCGCTAGAGGGCAATATGTTGTCTTAAACCAAAGTTAATACATATCCCTAATAAGTAAATAAAATAAAACCAATAACAACGGGAGAATATTAATTCTATTGTAATATAAGTCAACTATTATAAGACAAACAAAACAACTTAGCATTAAAATTAATAACGATTGATGATAAATAAATAAATGCTCTATGAAATATAAAGTTAAATATAAGTTATATTGATTATTATCACCGGATTCAAAGGTATTTAGATGTTATTGTTGAAGATAATCTGTTTTTGACATTATTTTCATTACTAAATAAATGTAAATTGTAAGTAAAATATAGACAATCGACTAAACCAGTTTAGTGGGTTCAAGATCGATGCGTTCACTTTGATTACCTATTGAATTTTACGAAATAAAATATGTTTTTGAAGTAAATATACTTATGTAGTTTTTATGAAAAGGGCACTTATCTTTTAAAATATTTATTTAAAAAAAATATACTACCTTGCCCAGGATTTACTATAATTTTTTAAATATTTCCTGAAAAAATAATAACAGTATTGTTCTCAAAATATAATTTTATTTGTAGTTATAGTAATTACATACAAAGTTATGCATGATTAAATTATTGTATGTCTTGTGTGAAGAGTACTTTATCGAAGAGGAACGAATATAGCCGACTTTTACCGACACTTTTAAATATGGCCGCGAAGTGCGCTTGGCGGTTGGCCCCTTGTTGCTTGTCAACAAAGTTATTCACGCCAGCTATGCGGGCGCGCGTGTGAAATATTAAATATAATATTACGTCTCTTATATAATTCGTTTAATGATATAAACTAAGTGCAGTGAAAGTGAATTTGGTGCAAATATTATGTATAATTTTGTGTATAGTGCAATATTGGATTTACTTTAGAAGACAAACAAATAAAAAAAACTTGGGAATATTTTCGGTTTGCGTATCATATTATTATAATTATTTATTTACTGGCGCAATCAGTTATACAGAATAAATACGCAATAAATAATAATTAAATTTCAACTAAGAATTTGGAATTTAATAATGGTTTTAGTCTTTCGTGTTGTATTTTTATATATTATTTTTTATGAATTTAATGAATCAATAAGATTAAGCAGCTAGGCCTGCGTTGTAATTAATAATCGGCTTTTGAAAATCCTAGTCTATGCTCATTTGAATCCACCAATTAGAAAATTGCAATCCAGGCTTTTTTCCATGTTATATATAGCCTATTATGCCAGCCTTGTGTTTCAAAGAAACCAACCGTATTACGTTGTATATAATATCTAATTATACTAAATACTATAAATGTATGTAGTTGCGTCTTGTAAATAAAACCAATACACCCACGCCGACTTTCTAAATATTGAATGTTCGTAAGAGTAAGTTCACATGAGTCATTGAATCGTCCCATGAGGTCTGGGTCACATTCCTGAACTAAACCGGACTCTAGCTGTGCGACGTACCTACCCTTCCTTTTTACGTGACAACTCTCTGTTCAAGAATAATTCGAACTTCGATCATGTTCGCTCAAGTTTCTGGCTTGATAGAACTTGAAAAGGTTGGATTTAGTTTTAGAATTCTAGCACATTTTTTATCTATTTCCTAAATATTTCACGTCTTAAAATACAATTCAAGAGCCAGGAGTATAGTAAGTCTATATAAAGGAGTTAATTCTTTCCGCCATATTTTAAAAGTGTTTGACTTGATTTATTTTAGGCATTTTGCCCGGAGCTCCTGAGTTTGATTTCCAGAGCCGCTAGTTAATTTGGCTGAGGGCGGCTGAAATGTTAAATAATCAGTGAAGCAGAAACGTATCGTCCCCATATAAACACACATGAACATTACGATTTGAAAATATAGTTTAGAGTAACTGAACATTCTATTAGTTGCATGCAAACACTTAACATAACAACGGATACAAGAAGCTTGACTAAATTTAATCTAAGCTTTTTTAAGGGCCTATAGCAACAAAAGAATAAAGTCACGCTTCATTTATCACATATTAAGTAAAAAAAATATT